CGGAATATATGAAAACGATACACTATTCAATTATTTATTTATTTCCTTTCTTTTATAAATATTAAAATTTATATATTGTTATGAGAGTATCATTATCATCATCATTATTATGTGGGGGTGATAGGCTACCGTTTATAATAACGCCACGTTTATTATAATAATAATAATAATAATAATAATAATAATAATAATAATAATAAAGGGAAAATTTAATGTTTAACTCAAAGAGCGTGCGTGCGTCAAAAATTAAAGTAATAAAAAAAAAAAATAATAATAATAATGATAATAATTTTTCGCATAAGAGAATAAGAAAGAAATGATAATAAAAAAACTGGAATTGATTTTAAAGTTTTTTAAATTTATTTGGGGGAAGGAGGGGGAGAAGGAGGAGGGTGAAAAGGGAAAACTTACCGTAATTAACTAAACCCCTATTTATAAAAAAAAAAATTTTTTTCTGTTAGCCCATTATTATTATTATTATTGGTTTGTTATTTTAATGGCGTAATGAATCTTAATTAATTGTTGTAATAAATATTTTTTTTTTTTTATACGTTTACGATCGTTTTTTATGTATTTTTTTTTAGAGAGATTTTTACATTTTGATGATTATCATTATCATTATCATTATTATCATTATTATTATTTTCATTTAAACGTTTTCTTTTTCCCTTTCGATAATGAAAAACATACGTGTAAAATAAATGTAGAGTGAATGAATAATTTTTTTTTTTTAAATATTAAAAAGTAGTTAGAAATCTATAATAATAATAATAATAATAATAATAATAATAATTATAATTATAAATAGCACCACCGAAATTCGAGCATTTATCCCTAAGGAATCGACGGGTAGAAACCTGGAATAAATGCTTAAAAACCCCGACAAATAAGAGCCTTGTCGTGTTTAAGAGTGACCATAATAATAATAATAATAATAAATGACGTCACGAATTTTATTTAAAAAAAAAAAGAAAACAATTAATTAATGAATTAATTGATTTAAATATAAATGTTTGTAACACTAAAGTTTTTTTTTTTTTTTTTTTTAAGTACACGGTTTTTAATAACTTTTTTGTATAAATTTATTTATTTTTAACCTTGACGTATTTTTATGTCAAAGTAACTAAAAAAAAAAAAAAAAAATACGAAAAATTGCCATAATAAAATAAATATATACAAAATTATAAACGATATTTCATTTTTTTTTATATATATAAAAATCAAGTATTTAAAAAAACACGCACAGACACGCACACGCACACGCACACACACGCACAAAAAAATAAGGCTAAAAGATGTCTCGCAAAACTTGTTTTACTTTTCTTTTTCTTTTTTTTTTGGATCATAATTCAAAAAACTTCGATTCGAATTTTAAAAAAAATTTTCTCTTACGCAAATACTTTAATAAACAAAAAAACTAATTTAAAAAGTTATCATCATTATCGTTTAAAAATGGCGTCGTTTGATCAATAAAAAAAAAAAAAAAAAAATAAAGGTTTTTTGTAGAGGTTCATTAAAAGACGTTATTCTATCTCGGTTAAATTCTCGCTTTTTTAAAAGAGTTTTCCTCACGGGAAAAATAATAATAATAATAATAATAATAATAATAATAATAATAATGATAATAAAAATAATAATAATAATAATAATAATAATAATAATAATAATAATAATAATAATAATAATAATAATAATACGCAATGTGACAAACTTTACGAAATTATTTATTATCAAATGTAGTAAATATAAAAAAAAAAAAAATTTTTTTGTTCTGTGATTCCCTATTATTATTAATATTATTATTATTATTATTACCTTATTGTACGATATCGTTTGAAAAAAAAACGCACACACACACACACGCACGCAAGAGTAAACGGTTTTTTTTTAAAAGCACACAAATTATTATTATTATTATTATTTTTTTTTTAAAGTTTAAACGAGAATAATTCGCAAACACGCGGAAATATCATCAATATTATTATTATCACGGTTAAATTAATAAAAAAAAAAAAAAAAAACTAACACTAACTAAATGTCACGAAATAGCAAAAAAAAAAAAAAAAAACAAGAAAAAATTTATTAATAAAAATTATTATTATTATTATTAAAAGCTAAAATTAAATTTATTAATTAAGGAAAAACGGTACGCGGCCGTAGTACCAACATGATTTTTTTTTTTTTTTTTTACATTTAAATATTTCGTTGGTAGCATTGTTATCGTTAAACCGTTAAAATTTTTTGCCACCATTGATAACCCCCCGGAGTTTTCATATTAAGTTAATTACGTTCTTTTTTTTTTTTTGGTGATAATTGATTGGTGTTTCTTAAGAAAAATTTATTATTATTATTATTATTATCAATCGTTATTAATATTATTATTATTATTATTATTATTATTATTATTATTATTATTATTATTATTATTATTATTATTATTACTATTATTATAATTGATATCGTGTTATTTTAGGGCGTTTTAAAATTTTTATAAAGTCGTTAAAAAAAAAAAAATAAACAAAAAAAAAAAAAAAAAAGAAAATAGAAAAATTTCGGTAATTTACGTTTGTTTTTTTTTTTTTTTTTTTTGGTAAATTTTTATTTGTTTATACGAAATTTATTATTATTATTATTATTATTATTATTATTATTATTATTATTATTATTATTATTATTATTATTATTATTACTACTATTACTATTACTATTATTATTATTATTATTTAAAACGAAATTAATTTATTTCCAATAAGAAGTGGAAAGAAAGAAACGTTTTTATTTTTGTGTAAATTTCAAGGACTTTATAAATATTAATAATAATAAATATATGTAAAAGAGATCGGTTATAAGAAGGAGAAGAAAAAGATGGTCCAAATATCATTTTTTCTCCCTCTCTCTCTCTCTCTCTCTCTCTCCCCCCCCACCTTCCACTTCCCTCCTAAATTTTTTATTATTTGTTATCAATATTATTATTATTATTATAATTTAACACAAAATGACGGTTGTTTATTTTCAAGGGCAGAGATGATGATATTATTATTATTTTATTACATTTTTTTTTTTTTTTTTATCGTGTCACAAAATAATAAAATAATTCGAATCGTTTCATTATTATTATTATTATTATTATTATTATTATTATTATTATTATTATTATTAATATTTTACTAAAATAATAATGATGATTTTTTGTTGTTGTTACATTTGTTGTTAAATATTATTTAAAAAAAAAAATTGTTGTATTACTCAAACATTACGTTCGCGACGGTAATTATTTTATTAATTAATTCAAATAATAGTAATAATAATGATAATAATGATGATAATGATAATAATAATAGTAATAATAATAATAATTTAAATAAATGGCATAATTACGTCATAAATATTAAATAAGTAAATAAAAAGAAACATTTTAGTAAACTTTTTTTTTGTTTTTTTCCCCCCATTGTTTGTTTATAAAAAAAAAAATTCGTAGGGTTAATTATAATGATAATAATAATAATAATAATAATAATAATAATAATAATTTGAATTGTTTTAAATTCAGTAAACCATCTCAAGGTTTAAAAAAAAAAAAAAAAGATCATCAGACACGCATAGATTTCAATGCAGGAAATTTACGTAATCTTGGTCGATTTAAAAATTTTTTTTAATATTTATTCTTAACCATTTAATTATTTCCTTTTAAAATTAAAATTTTTTAATTATTTATTAATAATTATTAAATTTTAATATCACGTGATTTATGTAATAAATTCGACCTTATAAAATAAATCAAAATAATAATAATGATGATTTATATGCGTTAGTTGAACGTATTAAACAAAGGCAAACAAAAGGTTTTTTTTTTTTTTTAAGGTTATTTAAAAATTTATTATTATTATTATTATTATTATTATTATTATTATTATTATTATTATTATTATTATCATTATTATTATGTTTTCATTACTTTTCTATAGTTTTTTCAAATTAAAATTAATAATTAAAAAAAAAAAAAAAAAAAACGAGTCACTAAACGATTCGATTAAAAAAAAATTTTTATTTTTATTTTATTTTATTTTTTTTAAAGCGTCATTTAATTATAAATAAAATTTAACGACTTTTTTTTTTTTTTTTTAATGTATTTATTGTTAAATGTTGAGTTTTTGTGTGTGTTAATAATAATAATAATAATAATAATAATAATAATAATAATAATAAAAACCATATAAGGAAAGTAATAAAATAAAAGACGTTATTAATTTTTTTTTTTTTTTTTAAATTTTTGGGGGTTTATTACCGCCGCGTACATTTTTTTTTGATTAAAAATAAATTTTATTATTTAATGACGTAAAATTAAAAAAAAAAAAAGGAACGAAATTTATTTTAATAATAATAATAATAATAATAATAATAATAATAATAATAATAATAATAATAATAATAATTAAGATTATTATTAATCCGAAATAATTAAATAAAAATAAAAATTTTTTTTTTCTGTTCTTATCACGCTTTATCACATGAAACAAACGCATGAATTTTTATTATTATTATTATTATTATTATTTTAAATTATAAAATCGTTCGGAATGTTTTTCGATAATAAAATTAAATGAAATTTATTATTATTATTATTATTAATATTTGTTTGTCGTGCGTGCGTTTGTTAATAATTTGCGTGCGTCACGTGGATGGCGGAAAAACTTTAAACTCAGGTACGAAAATGTACGGGTTTAGCTTATTGGTTGTTATTATTAACTGCATAAGAGCCGACAAGTTTGCGAGTGTGTTTGTTTGTTTGTTTGTGCTTT